TTTCAACACTCATACTACTGCTGCTAGGGCAGACTTTGGACTACAAATCTTGTTCAAGCAGAATTTTTCGCAAACCGAAACGTTTTCGAGATAAAGGAAGGAGAGCGAGGCAGCCCTCCACTGTCCATTGTTGAATACGGGAGCAAGTGGCATTGTTTCCCTTAAACGGCTCCCGTCCACAGCCCATCTGCGCGCGGCTGCGCAGAGTCCACTGGGAGAGCGTAAAAATATATTGCTCACGAGCGAGCGCCAGCTAAGCAAGCGCTAGTGCCGCGTGGGGGGCTTCAGATGGACTGACGTACTATTAATTTTAAATCCAAAGAGTTGGGAAAATGATAATTTAGGACGAACGGTATAGGCTAAGGAAATGGGTCCGGCCATCCTCCACTGACCGGCCGTCAACATGACGACCGATGACAATTGTAAACGGCGTTCGACAAAAAGAGACAACAATAATTCAATCTAAGATAAAATATGCGGCATGAAACATCACAGGATGAGTGAGGATCGCAGTGATTGCAGGTGATGAGGACTACAGTTCAAGGTTATTTCGGAGCCCAGAGAATAGTCTCTTCAGTCGGTGGGAGGAATCACGATCAGAGCCTTTCAGGCGCTTTCAGGACAGGTGAGGCGAGAACTGCCTCGAAGGGCAGGTCAGAAAAAAAAAAAACGACTTGAGGGACTGAGCACACGAGACACCTTGGCAGGCGGACCACGCAGACCATGGACATGCGCAGGACACACGGACGGAAGACGGGACGGCGTGACTGGAAAGAACCGCGCGCCACACACAGACGATGCATAGACAGCTACACGGGTGCATCAATGTCCTGGGCCCATGCAGGACCGCAATGGGCCAATGCCCATGCAGGACCGCAGGGCACAAAACATCTCCGCAAGTGCTTTACAGCTCTACACACAACATATTCGAATATATGACACTAGCATGTCTTCGGGCTAATTTTCTTTGATATTACAGTGCAATTTTTCAACATAATCACCATTTAGCTGTATACATTTGTGCCAGCGAGTAACTAATTTTTTTTAGTCCATCTTCAAGTAACTTTTGTGGAGTACGTTCTACCCACTCATTTATCGCTGCTTTAACTTCAGATAGAGATTCAAAATGGATTCCTCGAAGAGGTTTCTTCATTTTCCCAAACAGATGATAGTCGCTGGAAGCCAGGTCTGGAAAATGGGGCGGGTGTGGCAGCAATTCCCAGTGCGTATCTGACAAAACGGCCTTCGTAAGACGAGCAGTGTGCGGCCTCGCATTGTCTTGCTTCAGTAATGGTCGGGAATGGAGCTTTCCTGGCCGTTTTTTCTCGAGTACCTCACGCAGTGGTCCCTTCAGCAAATCACAGTAATATTGTGCATTTATCGTGGAACCTTTTTCTAGATAATCAATCGTGATTATTCCCTGGAAACCCCAAAACATCGTTATCATAATCTTACTGAACTGATGGCATAGTCCTTGCTTTAAGCGGAGGGTCATCAGAAGGTCGCCGTCATTCCATAGACTGAATTTTTGTTCGTGGATTAAAGTAAGGTATCCAGGTCTCATCTGTCGTGATGATTCGTTGTCAGAAACTATCCCCATATCGTTCCTCAACCAACAACTCGGAAGAAACCTCCACACGATCGAGTTTCTGCTCTGGCCCCAACAGCCGCGGTATCCATCGGGCAGAAACCTTGCTCACTCCAAGACGGACGTGTAAAATTTCATGAATTTTTCTGGAACTGATGCATACACTTGCTGCAATGTCGCGTATGGTTATTCTTCTGTCTTCCATTAGCATTTTCTCCACAGCGATGACATTTTCTTCGGCAGTGTTTGGTCGACCACTGCGGGGGTCATCTTCAAGGCTCGTTCTTCCATTCTTAAAGCGATCGATCCAGCAATAGACGGTACTTTTAGATTTAGAAGATTCATCAAAAACAGCTTTCAAACGTTGAATAATTTCAGACGTCCTAACACCTTCCTTCCATAAAAAGGAAATGATAGCTCTTTGAGAATTTACCGCGTCTTCATGACTGACAACGTGTTCCCTACGCGAACACTGACAACTTCTTACTGACGCATGCCAATGAATAATATTTTGTAGTCGTGTTTATGACAAACCTAAGCATGTGCGACCAACTTTGCGGTAGGCTTTGATCAGCCGTTGCAGTGATAGAACAAAATTCCCAGAACTTTGTAAACACCCCTCGTAGATCCAAAAAAAAAAGAATGTTTAAAGTATTGATTTGCTTTCAATGAAAATAAATCTTAAAATTTTTACCTTTGCCGTTCGTGCCACGAAAATACCTTGCCCAGATAAGGGCTAAATGATCTATTCAGTCCTGAAACTCAAAGTTCCTTCAATGATCGATGCGAGAGCTAAGGCCCTTAGAAACTCGTCCGATCGATCGTTCGAGAACCCCATTAAATGCGGCATCCATTATGCGATGGCTTTTTTTTTTCTCCCAGCAAGAAGGTGCAGGAAATTGGGGAGAGAGTTCCAAGACGAGCGTATGGACAGTGGCGGCACGTGCATTGGGGCAGCAGACCACCGCCTGATCAAAAATTACAATCTTCTTTTCGTTTATTTTTTTCGTGCGAAAGAGATGCGCGTAAAAGCTGAATTGATCCTTACCTTTGCTAGTGGAATGGTTGGTAATGAAGTTAATTGACGAATAAATTCGATTTGACGGTCGGTACAAGAGGAAGGAAACGTCTCGGTCTGCTCTGCCCTACACGGCGGAGAAGGCCGAGCTTGGCGATAACAAGCATTTCTCCAATGACTCATGCGCAGTCTGGGCCGTTCGTCCCACCAGACCGAAATCCTCGTGCGAGGGGCGTTGGGGCGAGCGGACGTCTGCCGGCCAGCCTCGTTTCCGTCCTCACTCCACACTCTTCTCCCTTGATTTATTCATGAAATCTCATATCTTCACCGATGATACCGTGCAGAGTTTGGATTCCCGTTCGGCAAACTTTAACATCGGCAGCTCCGGTATTTTATGCCTACCGCAATCATAAACGCTAATGATTAAGGCATGTGGAAATACTGTGCTCCGATCTAATCAAGAACGCATTTGCAGTAAAAGAGGCACCTCCTTTGCAACCGTCAGTTTGTATTTTCTAGGCTGAAGTTACGTTACGCATAAATTGCCTAATTCGCCCTCTTCCTAATTTCTTCATAGCCTTCGTCCCTCCTGTTGGGGAGCTCACGAGCCGCCACTGCATACAAATTCAACTAGACATGTTGTCTAATTATTCAACACAGCCGACTGTTAGCAGGAATTACAGACGAAGGCGTCTCGAGTGGAAGCACTCGCCTCCACTCGAGGCGAGTGCTTCCACTCGCAAGGCTGCACTCTACTCGTGGCTCGGATTTCTGATGTTAGGCCTAGTTGCATAGATTACAGCCGGACAACTACGTCTCACCGTCGTACGAAAGCGTCGGCAAGATCGTCTTGTAGTCATATTAGTTATCGGCGTCAAAAGTGACTTTAGGCGTGAAAAATCTTTCGTATGTTTTCAAATCAGGCTCCACTCCTACTTGATATCAAGTCAATATCTTGAAAAGTACTTATCGTAAGAAGATGAATTTTGGTTGCTGGTTTTTTTTTCCAACACATTTTTAAGGAAAAAATAGACCGTAAAATTCGAGATTTTTGTCGCTGTAACCCTGAAATTGGCATTGGTCTGCTGCTTCCAGCGTTACGATTGCAAGTCTCTTAAACGCCAATGAGTACTGGAAGAACAATGAGATGTTGCGAGTCAGGATACGATGCGAGTGGAGGTGATTATACCCTTGGATGCAAGTGGAGGCGATTTTACCCTTGGTTGAATGCCGTCGGAATGCAACCGTGACTCGGTCTTTGAACCTCCGTTGCCACGGTCTCACGCGTGAGTGCAGCAGAAGGCACAAGTCATCCCGGTCCGTCTCGGTACTAGGGAGACACTCGGAGACACCGCATCAGTGCTTCCAAGAGTTTCGGTGCGAGACTTGTTGTTCGGATCCGAAAACGAATCGTAAGTGGTACTCATACTCAATTTTGTTACCGAAGAAACTATGGGAACTCTCATTTTCATCATTTCTGCTAGCACGGTTGCATTTCTTTCGTCTTCCAATCCTTCGAAATGGTATCATTTAATTGAAATTCCGCCTAGAACTCCCTCGTCTTAGACGAATCCAACCGTGGGAAGGAAGGAAGGAGGAAATCCAATGATTTCTTCCTTCCTAACTTCGATTCATTGCTCTCCAACCGATCGTTGTATTTCCATTGTAGATTGGCAATTTCATCGGGCGCGACACCTCGATCGGGAGAGGAAGAGTCTTTACCTCGAAATTTTAAGTGATTTTTCCTCTCCGAAGCGAGTGAATCTTCTGTGAGATTTTGCCGGAACGATACGGTCGGTGTGGATTCGGAACCTTCGATCTCGTTGCCTTACGTGCATGCCGTTTCCAAACGGAGTTTCCCGAGTCGCGCGAGCCAGTCGATGACGGCCTCTGGGTTCGGTTCCATCTTTCGCCGGTACTCTTTTCGAACGAAGGAACGATTCACCACATCGGTAATCGAGTACACAAGGGATGGCGGCTTCCGAACGGATCCACGAGCTCCTTTAACACGTTGACCGCCACAGCAATGCGGGCCTATTGATTTTCCCATTCAGTGAGGCGCACCGGTGCGCCTCGTGGCGGTTAACCTGTTAAAGAAAGGAATATTCCAGTAAGGCATGATTGCGCCCTTTTCTGAGCATCGCGAACGGCCGCGCGAAGAAATGCAATCGGGTATAGGCTTGCATCATCCCTCTCGTCCGCGATCGAAGAACCGGGAGAGATTCCGCCCACGTTTATTCTGGCAAGGGAGTAGATGGATTCGTGGGGCAAGGGAAACCTCTCGCTTCGCATTCGTGCCAGACGACAGATACGTCGGTGGCATTCGTTTCAACGATATTGGACGCGGACGACAGATGGGTATGCGTTTTGTATCTTCGCCTTCCTTCCTTTCAGGTCGTATTTCACGATCGAGTCACGGTGAGTGCTTCTTCGTTCGTCGCCCGTCTATCCATTCGGGGCCGGTTTTAAGAATTTTCCCGCTCCTATGAGAGTTAAAAAACCGGATCCTTCGCCGTGCGGGTCTCTAGCAGGTCCAGGGGCAGCTTTCCAATGCGGGTTAGGACAAGCCCCCTGAAGGTTACAACTTTTATTTGAAAAGAAAATGAAAATTAAGAAGTTAATCCTAGCTTATCAAACGAACGACGAAGTACCTGTAACATATATCCCGGAATGTGACAGGAGCAATAACGTGATCGTTTTTAAATGCTATTTTAAATAAAAAGAAAAATGCTGCTTGCCGCGTGGATCAGCTAAAAATGTTGCACTGAACCAACAAATGTTTTTGGCTTAGGGTGCATAAACCCTTTTACCTTTCATTGGAGATGGCAGTATTGGCTATTCATGTTAGTGGAAAGCTGATGTGTCTACGCATACCACTTTTTCTCACCTAATAGAAAGTCACTGGAATACTCACTTTCCGTGTGAAGCTCGAGAAATGAATTTCTTTTGCAGTTAGGCCAGATTACTTTTCAGATTTCAATTTATTTCTTCCGAGTCCATATTTCAAATTTTCAATCATGACTCATGCCATTTTTACATCATCGGCAAAATTATGGGTGACATGCACCAAATCCTTTCGAGCTAAACTAAAGACCATTGGGAGATAAGATTAGTGAGAGATCAGTTTAACAGAGATGAACTTATTCCCATGGATGCCCATTATGGAAACGAATCAGTTTAAAGTTAAATGGATCTGGTGCATGTCACCCTATATTGTTGGTGTTAGGCGTCCCAAATTACTCTTGGGGTCTGTGAATGTCACATGTGATTGCAAACTTTATATATCTTTTGTTCGAATGCAGCAAATTCCAATAGGGTGTCTCGACTTCAGTTATGTACAGAAAACAATATAATTCTCACCTGATGATGTGCTCTTCCGTTCCCTCAATATCAACCGAATCCTGACAGTCTTTCACGATACTTTATTCGCAACTGCGGACTCTTCAATGAGGATCGACTCCAGGTAGGGATCATTTCCACAGAGCAGTTTTTCTCAGTGGCTTCACTCAAGCAGCGTCCTTTAAGTGTTAATTTAGGATAATTTTTATTATAATATAAAGTGGCCGTTTTGCACTATCGATCTCAATTCACTGGGACCTACAAAATATTTAATGTGAGAACTTCAGTATAAAGAATGAAACGCAGAATTGAAAACTTGTCAATCTAACTTTCAAAAAAAAGCACATACAGATGCATTTTTTGGAAGCCTTACAACCGATTTGTATGCATTGTTAATTGAATAATCCTGTAATTCCTCATTATCAAGTTTTTTTTCCTTTTGCGGTTCATTTTTGAACCTGTTAAGAACTCGGAACTACTTAATCAACACTGACTATCTTCTACATATTGACAGGCGTAAATGTGTACCTCATATATTAATTTTCACAAAGACTGAGACGAAATTTTTGCTTTAGGAAGGCGGTTTTAAAACTATTTCCAAACTCATGCTGTATGCCACTATTCTCGCACGGAGTTCATGTAATTTTTTTTTAACACAATGAGGACCGGCACCCTACGCATAACGTAGATTTTCAGAAATAAATACAAAGCAATAAGAGCGCAGCTGACGGTAAAAAAAAAAAGATACTAAAAGAAACATCAGAATGTCTACATTCCACAAAAGCACATCTCAGAACAAAATAGTACACAGAAAGAATCACTAATTGTGTCTCCCGTTCTTCGTGATCGGCTCGCGAAAGACATGAATTTGTGTCTCTCGTTCTCAATGTGTTAGGTTACCCTGGCGCCACCTGGTGGTCCGCTTCCGAAGAATGTTGAATTCGCCGTGGTCGTAGAGTGGTAGGCGGGGGCTTGGATGTGAGGTTGAAGAAAAGCCAAGCTGGGTCATTGGGTTCGCGAGCATGCTCTCTCCGCTTCGCCCCTTCCCGAGCCTAAACCTATTTAGGCTTGGGCGAGGTCTCTCCTTAACGCTAGGTCTGTCGCTTGCGGATGACTCAATGTACCCTTCATGAACTTACGGCGTCGACGAAATCAGAGGCTGGCTTCAGACCTAGCTTGCTGTTCTTGGCCTTGAACCAGACGGTATTGCATGGTTTTTGGCAGGCCGTCGCTGGTCTTTGGGCTTCGATCGCTTAGGTAGGCCATCATATCCTTCCATTTCAACAGTTCAGGCGTCAGTAAACCTTTCTCTATTTCTGCAGCGTTTAGCCTTCGCTTAGTTTTAAGCTCGAACCTCAAGTATGGTCTTAAATCCATCCATACCTTGACATATAGTGAGTTGATAATGAATGTTTCATCCTTGGCCTTCCACACAAAGCCACCAGCAGGGGTAAACCTATGTAGTGTTTTTTTTATTTATTTATAAATCGTTATAGGCTTAGGAGAGATTTTATTTTGGGACAGCCTAGGTCTATTAGCCTAATGCTCACTTAGGTGTAGAACAAGCCTGATTCTCTTATTCATATGCCTCTGAATGCTTTTTTATTATCATATACCTCATTTATTGTGCCATGATTCTTGGGAAGAGGAACCCTGTGCTCTCATTACACAGTAAAGGTTTGACTCAAACTGTTTTTGTCCAGCTGTGTCTGGAAAAGCCCATAGGCCATTAGGCCATTTTTAATTTTGCAATATGACCGAGGCAAGACATTTTTACTGGGATTCTTAGAATTGCTCAGGTGGAACCAGTATTTAAATCAAGTGACCTGAAAGAGATGGTTGCTTTTAGATCAGTGTTAGTTTTACCAGTTTTCCCCAAGATCTTCATATTGATAAAGCAAAATTCAATGGTTTATGTAATGAGAAACTATTCGTTCAGATTGGTACAAAGGCTAGGATACACTGGTGGCATCATGCCAATTGAATTGACAGGAAAAGTGAGGTGGTTTCATTAACTAAAAAACCCATGATTGTAATTGACAGTATGGCAGCAATCATGCTAGCAAGAATGATGGTACAAAAATTGAATCCTAGCCCCTCCAAACAATGAACAAAAGATCAGAATGGTTATCAAATTTTTAATCTGAAGCAGGTTCAAAATGATCACCTTTGTAAGAACTTAGTTTCCTCATACTTTTGTCTTACCAAATGAGGTAGTTGTAACACTGCTGAATAGATGCTCTTCAATAGCAATTGAAGCCAACTGAACAACTTTAATTATGTGTCACATTAGCTGGATGGAAAAATAGCAAATATGGGCTAAAGAAATTAGACAACAGGAGCTAATAAAGTTCGAAGAAGTCAGAGTCACTCCTGATTTTTAGTCTTTTAGAATGGTTTGGAAAGTACTTAATCCAACCCACTTGCCCTCTTCTCTTTACTTTTCCTCCCCCCCCCCCCCCCCCCAATATTTCCTTTCTTAAAAATCATATCAAAAGTCAATGATCCTGTTTGTCAAGGTTGAAAACTCAAATGATTGAAACCATCCAGAGCACAACAGGTCAATAACTTTGACTTATAGGTCCTAGCTTAGACAGAAATCTTGGCAAGTCATAAGACAGACTTAAGAGAAATCTGTAGAAATCAGCATAACTTCAGGTTTAGGTCATGGCATGACAAAGATGTTGCATTGCGGGGAATAGTAATAGTACACTCAACTGATTAAATGGTAGGACCAGAGTCCCTGTCTTCTTAATCAAAAGATATATATGAAAATCAATTTGCTTTTAGCTCTGAGCATATTTAGCTGGGATAGGAAATAAAACTATGGTTAATAATAAAAATATGGAATATTAAGCTATGACAGCGTACAGTCAAATGAAGTCAATGCATTTTTAGTCAAGCATGGAGAAGTTCAAAATATATTCCATATCAAAGCATTAAGAATGGAACATTACTTACACAAAATTAGAAAACTCTCTCACTTATAAATAAAACCCCATCTGTATGTGCTTGCTCTAAATGAATTCCAAAATTCTGAAAATTGGGGAAATATTCATTCTGAAGGGTAAATGCCTTTACTTGATATTCCTACAAAAGGTGCATCCACATCTATTCAAATTTTGTGTCTAGAGACACATGAGCTTGAAAGTGAAGACATGCAATTCTTGAAAAGTCACTGACCAGCATATATGCCTATAAGCTGGGTTTTAGAGTACTTACTGAATGATGAAGCAGTTTAATTTCATTGTTATTTTAATCCCATCTCACTCAAAGGCAGCAATCAAACTGTTTGTTTGGGAATGTTTACTTATATAAATAAACATTTGTATGCTTAGATATGTCTACTGTTATAAGGGGGTAGCTAGTAGGAGTTGAAAAAGGAATACCATCAGATCACTTTTCCTCAGGAAATACCGAGTGTGGTATAAGAATGAACTGCATAGGCATAAGAGCTAAAAGGAAAAAAAAAAGGCTATGCCATGCACTCACTAAGAAACAACTATAACTCAGATGTTTGCCTAATGTTGTCATCAATGCTGCATTTTCAGATAATCTTAAATTAGTATTAACGGCATAGAACTACACTGAGAAGAAATTCAGTATCAAGAAAGCTAGATAAGTAGACTTGACTTTCATGGTATTTCTGTGTTATTTCTTCAAATCCTGGTTGTGCTTTCATCAAGAACAAAATGTACTCATTGGTTTGGCTAATGAAAGAGAAATCCCTTTTGTTTTCTTGTTTGTTTTTGCAAAATATTAAGACAGCATTTAATGTCTTGCGAGCTTATTCAAGAATGTCTGCTGCTATGACCTCTACCATTATATCTAGAAAAACTTGTGCTATTTTCAATTTGGTGGTGCATTCTTATGTTTTTGAAGTTGTAGACCTGCTACATCATGTATTGCAAATTTATTTCCATAAAAATGACAAAAAGCAGCTGTTCTTTAATTATTTAAAGTTTTGCTTCCTTTTGATGTGTGATCCTATACAATTCTTATCTTGTTTCAAAATATTTGGGATTATCCTCAGTTTCCTCCTTTTTTTGCCAGTATTGTGAGGCCATATTTTAGAATAA